AGGATCTGTGGGATCTATAGGATCTGTGGGTCAGAGTGGGATCTATAGGATCTATAGGGGATCTCTGGGTCTGCCCCACAGGATCTCTGGGATCTGTGGGTCACTGTGGGATGTGTAGGATCTATAGGGGATCTATAGGGTCGGTGGGGGATCTCCGGGATCTATGGGGGATCTCCGGGATCTATAGGGTCTATAGGGGATCTATAGGACCTATAGAATCTATAGGGGATCTGTGGGTCAAGGGGTTCTATAGGATCCGCGGGGGATCTCTGGGATCTATAGGATCTATAGAATCTATAGGGGATCAATAGGATCTGCGTGTCTGCCCCGCAGGATTTGGTGATGCCGGGGGAGGACGCGGCGCTGGCGCTGGGGGATCTGTGGGGCTGTGGATCAATGGGATCTCTGGGATCAATAGGATCGATAGGATCGATAGGATCTATAGAATCGATAGGGGATCAATAGGATCAATAGGCTCTGTCTCTCTGGCCCCCAGGATTTGGTGATGCCGGGCGAGGACGCGGCGCTGGCGCTGGGGGATCTGTGGGTCTCTGGGATCTGTGGGGCTGTGGATCAATGGGATCTCTGGGATCGATAGGATCTATAGGATCTATAGAATCGATAGGGGATCGATAGGGGATCGATAGGGGATCAATAGGATCAATAGGCTGTCTCTCACCCCACACACAGGATTTGGTGATGCCGGGCGAGGACGCGGCGCTGGCGCTGGGGGATCTGTGGGGCTGTGGATCAATGGGATCTCTGGGATCGATAGGATCAATGGGATCGATAGGGGATCAATAGGATCAATAGGGGATCAATAGGCTCTGTCTCACCCGCAGGATTTGGTGATGCCGGGCGAGGACGCGGCGCTGGCGCTGGGGGATCTGTGGGGCTGTGGAGCAATGGGATCTCTGGGATCGATAGGATCGATAGAATCAATAGGATCAATAGGATCAATAGGGGATCAATAGGATCAATAGGCTCTGTCTCACCCGCAGGATTTGGTGATGCCGGGCGAGGACGCGGCGCTGGCGCTGGGGGATCTGTGGGGCTGTGGATCAATGGGATCAATGGGATCTCTGGGATCAATAGGATCTATAGAATCGATAGGATCTATAGAATCGATAGGGGATCAATAGGATCAATAGGCTGTCTCTCACCCCACACACAGGATTTGGTGATGCCGGGCGAGGACGCGGCGCTGGGTGGGGGATCTGTGGGGCTGTGGATCAATGGGATCTCTGGGATCGATAGGATCGATAGGATCTATAGAATCGATAGGATCTATAGAATCGATAGGGGATCAATAGGATCAATAGGATCAA